GGTCCGGGCGCAGGGGCACCCCGGCTTGAACGGCCGGCGCGTTCCCCCGGGTGCCCACCATGCAGGCGAAGAACTCGCTCTTGCCATCAGATGTCACCGGAAGGTCCTTGTTAAGGTCGGCAAAGCTGCAGATGGAGTGAGAGCGTGGACTAAAGTGTTTGTAGCGCAATTCTGGCAATGTATTTATGTATTTACAGTTGCTTGCGAGCAGGTGGCAACACACACACACACACGCGCGCACACACACACACACACACGCACGCGCGCGCGCAAGCGTGCACGCGCGCCCACATGCGGTTGGCGTTTGCACGCAGTACGCGTGTGCACGTACGTAAATGCACACTCATGAACGCACACATACGCGCATGCACGCCCGCATGCACGCATGCACACCCCCACAGCCCCCTTTTCTCAGCGTTGCCTGGCGTCTCACTTGAAGGGGATCCTGATTGAGTTGAACCCCAGCAGCTTCATCCTATAGACGACCGACGCAAAGTCGTTAGTCATCATCCGCTTGCCCCAAAACTTGATGCCCCCGAGCCGCTCGATTCCCGCCTCGCTGACTGCCGGCTCGGGGAAGTGGGGCGGGATCTGCCCGTCCTGCTGACATGGCGGCTGGCTGGCGGTGTAGTTGTCGTCACAGTATGCCTGGCCCCGCCGGTGCGCGGGCGGGGGGCGGCGGGGGCGCCAGGGGTCAACGCGCGGAGGATATGGCAAGGCAGCGGCTGCGTGACATCCGCAGCCACCAGCGGGATCGCGGCACGGCCCCTCGAGCCTCGCCCGCCCGATTGCCCACCACCCGCCCCGCTTGCGAACCGCCCCCCTTGCGCCGCGCCAACCCCTCCGCCGCGTGGCCGGTCGCCTCGCCGCAGATGCGTCCTACGCAGCGGCGCGCAGCAGGCAACTCACCCAGAGGCCGTCAAAGTTGAAGGCGCCCACGTTCCAGCCGAACCAGTTGACGCCCCTGACGACGACGTCCTGCCCTGTGTCAGTGCTGTAGAACCGCCCCTTGGGGCCGACCTTGATTGGCGTCGGCACCTGGGGTACGGGCCGGGGGTTGCTGAGAGTGAGAGGCGCGGCGGCTGCTAGGGAGCGGGTGGATGGCCGCGGCCCGCCTTGCGTCGTTGCGGGTTTGACGCGCCGGCTGCTGCCATTCATGCCTTCCGGCGCTGCATCATGGGTGCCTCATAGGGTCCCCTGCCCGCTGCTCCAACGCATCGATGACCGTTTCACGGTTGCGTACATGGGACTGCTGTGCATTCGGCATGAGCGTGTGCACGCACATGCAAGGAGTCAAGTCGCACATCACACATCACACGTATGCACACACGCACAAACACACACAAACACACGCACACACGCACTCAAACTTTTTCTGGCTGTGTTTCTCCCTTGCCTCCTTGTGCCCCTGGGGCTCTCACGCCCTGCACACCTGCGTCTTCCCTGCTGGGTGCGCCCAAGGGCTGGGGCACTTCGCCGGCACCCGCCGCGCCTGCCCATCCACGCGGCACGCACACGCGTCTGGAGGAAGCTTCCTGGGCGGGTACTGCAGCACCTCCTTTTCCTGGGGCACGGCCTCCACGTGTGTGACATCAGCCTGACAGTTCCACACCCGGTAGCTCTCCGAGCTGGGCTGGCAGCTGAAGCCGTCGGGGCAGCAAAAGCTGAGCCAGGGGCCGGTGTTGGAGCACTGACCGTATTGCTTGCATGCGCCGCCGCCACCGCCTGCGAGATGGGAGGCCGCGTGGCGGCACGTGTGGGAGGTGCGTCGGCGCAGCTGCAACGTACAGATGTGGCGGCCTTCAAACTCTACCTGCAGCGCTTTCCAGGACCTGTGATTCCTACTCCATCGCGAGCAATTTCGTCAGTGTGGCCTCGGCTCGGCTGCGGTATGGGCTCCACCAGCTTCATCGGCTGCCCATCCGGGCCTCACTCCCCTGCTGATAGTTGCAGCCTTCAGCGAACCTGATGGCCCTGCCACAGCTGCAAGGTTGCAAGTAAGCGACCCGTTTCGCATCGCCAGTCCCCCTCCGCCCCCAAACACGCACGCGCATGAGCCCATGAAACCCCACACGCACCGCACTGTCCCCCAGGGGCGACCTTGTTGAGGCAGCTGCCGTAAGGGCTACCAAATGTATAGTTCAGCAGCGCCGTTGGCAGTTGCTGGCAGCTGTAGCCAAACAGAGACGTGCTGTCCCGCAAGCAGTCAAAGCCTGGCGTGCAGCACGACTGCACAAACGGTGCCGGCTTCGGAAAGCACCACGCGCCGGGGCTGAACATGATGTCGCAACCAGGCTGAATGTAGGGCGCATCGATGAAAGTGAGGACATCTGAACAACAGGGAGGGGGTGGCGTCGCGCTCGAGCGCGCGAGCAGCGCATCGTCCCATGCCCAGGGCCGAGCATCCGGAAGGCAACGCTGCCGTTAAACTGTCTATTTGCGACATTGAAAATCTCTGAAGTACATCAATTAGGCTGCGCGGGTCCCGCCAACCACGGAGTGACCCCGGCTGTTCTTCGGGCGAACAGCAAGTTGTCGCGCACCGTCGAGCCAGGCGTCGCTATAAGCCACTGATAGCAACACCAATATCAAACTCCACCGGAAGACCCGCATCCTTCCTGCGGCGTCTACACGAGTCGGCTACGCAAGCCCCATGCGCGAACAGCGATGCTGAGACCAAGTGAACAGAAGTTACTGTTAGTGTTATGACTCCCGTTTGCGCCCCTTACCAACGACGAGTTCAGATGGCCCCCGCCCCAGCTCGACGCAGCACTGGAGCACTACTGGCAGCTGCTTCAAAGGTTCCCAGAACGGCAGCTGGGTTACCTGCGGCCCCCGTCAGCAGGCCAAGTGCCAGTGCAGAAATATTCAGAAACAAAGTATGTCACATGCTGACCAGCCGACAGGCTACCTTACCAGGCCGAAAGCGGCGAGAGGTTTTGCGGCAGGCGTTACTGTATTGTGTGCGGTCATAACTGTTGCAGCAGCTGCCACTTGTCTGCAATGGAAGGCTCCAACGTGGTTTTAGAACGTGTAGTATCCCCTGCATCAAGGCGTGTGGCATGTGCAAGAAGCTGGAAGGCCTGGGGTTCAGCGTACCGAGGGCAGCAGTATACGTCAGGTAGACTGGGGCCAGCACACAGCGCGACGGCCCGACCTGCGTGCACATACACGGGATGCGTACAGGCACTGCACCAAAGCAGTCATCGCAGATTTTTGCAACATAAAATGTTCTGTGCTTCTGGCTTCCTGCGGGGTGCCCACCGTCAGTGCCCAGAGGAAACAGCTCGTCCACGCCAAAGCGGGGTGGGCGGGTGGGTTAATGGGAGGCAGGGAGCCTTGGGCTGCCGCAGCGCGCCGAGGCATGCAGATGCAATGGCACCACTTGCTGTTGTTGATACGCAGTGACACTGACAGCTTTTCGCCCCTATCTAATGCACACATGCTACTTGCAAGGTGGCAACAGGGGGTGTGGACCCCAGCTCCCCGGAAGCTTTTTTCCACTGCATCAGTGAGAGAACAAGATCACCTCCATCAAGGTGAAGGTGATTTGCACTCCACCCTGATCTTCAAATGAATGAATTTGATTTTCAACTGGATTTCAATTTGCAGATCTTGAACCATTCAAAACAAGTTTAAAACAAGTTTCTTCTTGAGGATCTTCAACTGTTCAAGTCGAGGATCTGATTTTTAACTGAACCAAGATCATTATAGGGGGGGGGGCAGTGCATCAGTGTAAGGATCAAATTGGTGCCCTACCAGATGCATTGTATCGCAAAGTGCGCAGATAGGGGCGCTTGAAGAATATGTTACACCTTTGCAGAGGCTGTCAGCTGCCCCCTTGGCCAGTTGTCCTTGCCACATGTAAGAACATACCACGCCTCGGGCGAGGTACCAGGATCAGCTTGTCTTCACCAGCCATTTGTGTCGAACACTTTAACTGAGGGAAAGTCAGACACAAAAGAGAAACCAAGCCGTCAATCGCCGTTGGTGTTGACCCGGTTACGTGCACCAGGTCAACACCAGTACCAGTGTGGGCTGCTGCTTGAAAACGGTCGGCACCCGTTGGATGTGCATCGACTCCCAGGGCAGCTGCTGCAGGTTTTACACGAGATTCAAAACAATCATTGTTCGCTACTCCGGCGGGTAACCCGAGTGCACAGTACCGACCCACATACGGTGTGCTCAAATGCAACAACAGACACGAGAGGCGCGAAACACCACAAAATACGAGGTACGCTGTTGAGACCCATACACGCACCATTGAAATATCCTGCAACGTTTGCGTCTCACACACACACGCACCCACTTACCGACCTGCCGTGACGACTGTGCACCGGCCGCCCGTGGCGAGACACAAAAGCCCATCACAAAGGGCTAAGGTTCATCGTAACTCAGCTTCAGTGACTTGAGCCCGTTGTGGGGGTCCAGCCACTCTATCGATCCAGTCGATCGACACTTTGCACCGACTCGCGTTCAGCAGTGTCCCGCCCCGCGACAGCTAGGGCTCAGGAGCATAAGACAGGACAATAACCACTTTGACCACGCAGGTGTCATGCGGCCGCGGCGGCCAGCGCCAGTGACCCCGCCCGCCAGCGTGGCGTGCAGCGGCTGCCGGACCCAGGTTCGCCAGCTTTGCGGCGGCCCCCTCGGCATGCAAGAAGCCGGCACATGCAGCTCAGCAACTCTGGGAGACACCAGGGGCAGCCGCACAGACAGCTGTGCGCGCAGCCCCGTACGCTGCCGCAAAATTGCCTCCAGCCTGGCAGCGCCCTCCTCCTTCGTGCTTGCACTGCTGCTGGTGCTCGCCGCCGTCTGCGGCTCGGCCGCCGCCAAGGATGCAGCCGCAGCCTCCCAAGCGGCCGCGTCGACGGCGGGCTATCGTCCCTGGAACTTCAACAAAGCCTGCCGCTACACCGCAAGGAAGGTCCCTGGCAAGCTCTTTAAAGAAGGCATCGACGGCGGAATGGACTACATATTCCCTCTGGAGACCACCCAGGCAGTCAATCGCTATGAGAAACCTTGGCAGGCGTGCTTCTCATCGAAGGAAACCTACAACCTCGGGCAGATCGCGTCTGGGTGGAAGCTGCCGTGTAGGTACGCAGAGAACGCCGACGGCACGTATGACTACGAGGAGGAGCACGCGTGCGAGGTGCTGGTCAAGTCAAACTGCTACTGCTACGCGCTTGACCGCTTCGTGGGGAGCTACTGCGAGCCGGGGCTAGGCGGCACAGGGCGCCCGTTTGAGCTTCCAAGTGCGTGGGGGGACCTGGGCCCGGGGCGGCGGTTCGCGGTGCCGGCAGTGGCGGCGCCACCACGCAGCTTGCTTGATTCGCAAGGGTGCCACCTGGGATGGGTGGTGGCGTGCGCCTCAACCTTGCATGGCGCTTGCTCATGCTCTCACGCATGTGGAAGCGTAAAAGCAAGCCTGAGCCTGGGTGGCTCTGACACGCATCTGCTGCCGCGCACAGTCCGGTTTCGTCTTCCATACGTAGCAGCTTGTATCTCCACTCCCGTGCGCTTGCACCCCTGCTCTTGTGCAATCCCTATTCTGACCAGCCAATTAACCCCTGGCGGTCACCAAGAAGAAGCACACATGCACACTCACACACACACACACACACACTCACACACACACACACACACGCTCACTCACACACTCACACCGACACCCGCGTGCATGCACCACCACCACCCACGACAGTTGAGGACTGCTCAAAGGCGGCAGCAGGGGTCCTGGCTGATGGCGGACGCGCCGTGGACCGGGACACCGTTTTTGTGACCGCTCCAAGGCCGGCCCAGGGCCACTACATCGCCCTGGCCATCAAGCCCGCTTCGTCGCCCGACGACACCGGCGACTTCCACTTCTGGCGGCTGGACTCGAATGGGGCGTGGTCGTACAAGGTATGTTTGTGTGTGTGCAAGCGTGGGCGTGTGTGGGCGGGTACGCTCAAGAGGCCGAGAGAAAAAGCAGAGCGCAGATGCGCATGTGTCTGTGTGTGGGGTGCGGGGGATGGGGTGCGGGGGTGAGTGCGCCGGATGTACGCGTGTGCACATATTCGTGTGTGTGTGTGTGTGTGTGTGTGTGTTTTGATAGTTCGGTATCTGGACACACGCAGGATTTGCAAGCATGTGATACCTGAACGGCGTCAGCATGGCCCCATGCGACAGCGCCGCCCAGCTGGCCTGCCCAGCCACGTGAAGCTCAGACACCCCGCTCCGCGCCACAGCGCATGCACAATATATAACCTCCATCGCCCCTCCCGCCCTCACACCCCGTCCCTCCCGCGGCCACCGCGGCAGGCGGGTGACACCATGGTCCGCAACACACTGCGCAACGGCACCACCATACGCGACGTCGAGCGGGACGTCAAGGCTCGTGGCATCTACACCACCTTCTGCGGGTGCGCCTTGGTCGCGTTTGCTGCTGCGCCCGCGCGTCCGCCATGTGCTGTGCTGCCCCCGCGCCTGCTGGCTCGTGCAGCACAGCGACGCCTGCGGCCGGCGCCACGGGCAGCAGGCAGCGCCACCACGGCGACTTCCTTTTTGACAAAAGGGCCCGCCCGCCCGCTTCGTCCCTCGTTCTCTGGCCCCTTGAACAGTACACTGCGCTTTCCCTGACGCCTCCCCGCCCTCCCTTCCTAACCTGCTGCACCCCCCTGTCTCTCCGAGCAGTTACTTCCATGTCGTACCCGCGACCCACAAGCTGGTAGGCAACCAGTTCTGGTACAGCAACCTCCCCTCCCGCATCAAGCTGTGGCGCACCAACGGCGTGAACGCGACGGCGCGCCCGCTGGCGAAGCTGCCGGACGCGTGGCTGGCCGCCTACAAGCAATACTTTGGTGAGAATGGCTGGGAGGACGGCACCTGGATCAGGAGGGACAGCAGGGAGTCGGCCTTCGTCCCCAAGGCCTCCCAGACCGCGTCGTCATCGTCATCTGCGGCGGCGGCGGCGGGGCCCGGGGTCGGTGGCAGGAAGGCGGGGCCGTTCGGGCCTGAGCTGCGGCCGGGCACCGCGCCGGAGCTGCAGCGGCCGCCGCATTGGTACTCGGCGAGGCCGCCGACGAGCCTGTAGGCGGGCGCGCGTGTGGGGGCATGGTGAGCTGGAGGCGGCGGCGGCCGGCGGCGGGCCTGCGCCTCAGCTGTTTTTGTGACTGCGACGTGCGCACTCGTTTCACCCACCTACAAGCAGCATTGATGGCTGCTTCATTGCACAAGAGCGTAGCCAATAAGGGCCTCGGCCGCCTTAGCACCTTGATCATCAATTTGACCGTTAGACTGCACTTTCTCTGTTGGCTGGCCAGACCGGCCAACTCATGCGCCCCGCTCAAGCACGGCGTCACAAAACAGAGACCTGTTCTCCAGCACAAGAGCACGCCCTGTATGTCATGCTATGCTTTCGTCAGAGGTTGCTTGTCGCTTGCTTGTCTTCGCCCGCAAGAGGACTTGACTCCCACACACACACACAGCTCAGGTACAGCGCCGCAGCGCATGTTGCTTTTTCGGCTATCGGCATTCTGATAGTGTGGCATCCTGGCCAGGCTGACGTGCCCGCGTTTTCGGTCAAAGGCTGCCTCCTGCGCTGCGCTGTGCAGCAACAAGCGGCAAGCCGCTCTCGCCCGTCTCGGGGGTGAGACTGTCGCTTTCTCGCGCACCACCTCCTGTTTATTTGCAGTTTCCCTCGGGCCCCCCTGCGTCTGCCCCTGTACGCTCCACCCGATTTTGCACCCGGCGGCGCGCGTTTCCAATAGGCAGACGTCCTTCAAGGCAGAACTGCTTTGCGGCAGCTGTTCTCGCTGCCAGCAAGGGCTGCGGTTGCTCAGCGGTGCACCTTTTCCAGCAGTCTGGCTGTGCGTCGGACGCCCTTGGCTTGGGCCGCAGTTGTACACAAAAGGTTGCCCGTGAAACTTCAGTTCAAGTGTTGCTGCTTGCTCCCCCCCCCGGGGGAGGAATGGGGTCGTCCTGCAACGCCCGTTGCCATCGATTTTGATTTGCCGCGCGCTTTGTTTTGTTTGCACTCAGCACGTTACACGCATGCGCACAGCGCTCCCCTTCCGGGGTGGCGCGACCTGCATGCCGCCATGCACGGCCCCTCAACCTGCACTGCGCAGCTGCTGCGACGCAGCCCCCGACTTGCATTCACAACGCGCGGCTCGGCTGCTCTTCTCAGCAAGGGACGGCGCAACTCGTGCCTGCGTTCCCCCAGCCGCCGCTGCTGTCACAGTATCAGGGGTGTTGTTATGGAAGCTGGGATAAATACTGTTATGTAGGCAACTGTTGATTTGCTGTTGGTGTGCTATAGGCCCAAGCCAGCAATACCAGCTCAGCATTGCCAGCGGAGATCGCACAGCACAAGTCGTCAACATGGAGCCGCGCCTGCCGTGGCAGTGCCACCTGCCGCCTGCACCGCCGTCGGCGCCTGCGAGAGAAGCGCGGGCAAAACAGAGCAAGAAGGCTGCAGCTGTGGATCCGCGGCAGCACGCGCGCGACTTGGATGCTTGTCCCTCCCCATCCTCTCGCGCGCGCCCCCTCTGTTGATCATGCAGTCTGTGCGTTCAAGCTTGCGCCTTGCCCATGCATATGCATACCTCATCCCAAACTCACCAAGGCGGCCTGAACAGCTTGGTAGATGGGCCGCAGGACCTCCAGTCTGGGGCGCAGAGTCTGCGCGCGCGAAACATGGGGTGTGGGGCGCGGTGCAGCGAAGGGGGTCTGAAAGCGGCGCATGGACGTAGGGACTCCGCAACCCCTGACCTCGGGTGCGTCAGCTGCGGCCTGCGCGCCGCCACATTCGTACACGAGCACCGGGCCCGTTGTCGCACGCCCCCTTGCGTGGCTGCGCAGCTGCCTCTGGGGCAAGCAAGCTCACGGGGAACGCGACTGCCATCTCTGGGGCGCCGTGCAGCACAAACGCCAAGTAAAAATAAACGTCGGTGGTCGTGACAGCCTGCTTGGGGTGTAAGCAGAGGCGCGTTGCACATGGACAGCGTGGAGGCACCAGCGCGGGCGGGTCCGCGCCCCTTCTCGGCCTGCCTCCCAGCGGCACAGCGCATGGGCTCAGTGGCGTGCGGCTGCAGCGCACCCCAAGGGGGGTTGCGGGAGGCGATAGGGTGGCGCGCGACCGCTGTGCGGCGGGCCGGCGCGGCGGGCTTCGGCGGCTGCCAAGGGCGCACCTCCGCAATGACGACGGCGCGGACCCTCTCCGCGTCGATCAGCGTGCTGCGCGCGCCGCCGTGCCGCCGCCGCGAGCGCAGCACGACCCCAACGCCTGCCAGCACCTCCAGGCTCTCTGCATGCGCCGAGGGCGGGCGGCGGGCGAGGCGTTTAGGCGGCCGGGTGACGGACTCAAGGCGGGGCGGGGAGAGCGCTCCTAGTCAGGGGTGCGGGTGGGGCGCGCGGCTGGTCGCAGCCGATGCGGAGCCAGGGGGGCCCCAGAGCGCTGCTCGCCGGGGGTGGAGCCGTGCCGGACGCACCCTCCACGGTTTGGTTGAGTTGGAGCAACAGCCACGTGGCAACCGCCGCCGCCGCCGCAGCAAAGCATGCCAGGGCCTGGTGAGCATGCGCATACGAAAGGGTGAGTCAGCGGCGGCCTGTGAGCGCCAGGGTAGCTGGCACGCCCATTTGCCCATCCAGTCGCAGGAATTTGGGCATGGCAGGCAAGTGGCGGAAAGCGCACCTTGATTTTCTGCAGTGGCGGTGCCTGCGCAGTGACGAGAGGCATGGCAGGGCGCGTATCAGCGGCTGTCAATGATCTCAACTTCGGCTTTCCGGTGGGCACATGGCGATGCTGTTCATGCCGTAGCACGTAGCTACAGACGTCCCGCATCAGGCATCTGCATGTGCTGTGAGGGCCTGGCTCACCGCTGCCGCCGCTGCGCCGACGAGGCAGGCGAGGGCGGTCAGTGCTACCGATCCCGGGGCCGCGCCGCCCCGCCTGTTGATAGAGAAGCGCTGCCCACACTCTGACATCATTAGCAGCGTCAAAAAGGCATGGGCTGCCGTGCAAAGGCATACAAGTCTTGGGTTGACGAGGCCTGGATTCGGTGTTCCAGCTCAAATCAATCCAACGGAACGACCTTGCACCACAGCCGCCTTCCCCTAACCCGTGTTATGTTCAAAGTGATAAATAACACCTATTTTTGCACGGCCATTCGGTTTCGTTTAGGTTTCCAATGCTCTCGAGTAAAAATTGCACTCCGCCCGCTCGTTCGCTGTATGATTGTTTAGCCCTCAGGACCTGTGCCAGTGGCACTTCTCTTTCTGCCCTTCCTGTCGTGGGCTGAGCTCCTCCATGTGATACACGAGCTCTTTCAGATCACGCCTTGCAGTTGTGCGCGCGCTGACGGCTCTTTTCAGCTTCAAACGGTTGTGGACACTCTTATCATGGTATCCGATCTGCGTGGCCACCTGTAGGCCGCTCAGAGGCTGAGGCGCTGCACACCAGCTGCCCCTCTCGCGCCCCTCGACCGTTGTGGCGCGTTGCAAGTGATGGAGACATCCGGGTCGACATTTGAGGTGCGTGGGCTTGCGTGCAAAGGCGCTCCTGTGTGGGCACCCGGGCTGTGCGTCGCGTGGCTCCCGATCAACCGTGTCGCTAGGGCGGGTCGCCCTGGTTATCTTATGTGCTCTAGGGGCGCCCTTTCCCTCGGCTCCTGTGCTTGGCGAGGTGCCACCCGCTTCCCGCGGGCGCGGGATCGCTGGGGTGCGCCCCACCGTGACTTCCCCTGGCGGCTCCCTGCCCTCAGTCCAGGATGGCCCCCCACCCACGATCGCCACCACTGCCCGTCGCGCGCCCCCTCAACGCTCCTGCCTGCCCCCCTTCCCCAGGTGGCCCTGTTCACGGCGGGGCTGCCGACCCAGGATGAGTGGCCCACCTGGTACTACCGGGACCTCGCCGGCGCGCTGCAGGGCCCCTTTGAGGTCGGGGCGATGGTGAAGTGGTTCCAAGACGGCGCGCTGCCAGGGGACCTGCTGGTCTGCGGCGTCAGCTGCCTGGACCGCGGCGCGCGGCCGGCCGGGTTCGGCGGCTTCCGCCCGCTCAAGGCGCTGCTGGCGGATGCCCAGGCGGGGCGCAACTACGTCCCGGTCCGCGCCAGCGGCAATGGCGGGGCGGCGGCGGCGCTGCGTGGCGGCTTGGGCGCCGGGGGGGCGCAGCAGCGGGGGCACCTGGACCAGGGCGGCTCGGACGTGCAAGGGGCGCTGCAGTATGCGCTCCCGCAGCACTTTGCGGTGCAGCAGCAGCTGTCGCAGTTCCAGGCGTTCTCGCAATTCACCCCGCAGCAACAGCAGCAGCAGCAGGCTTTTGCCCAGCAGCTTGGACAGCAGCAGCTCCAGCCGCAGGCCGCTCACGGCGGCCGCGGCGCACGGCCGGGCGTGCCCGCCCAGCAGCAGGGGCGGCAAGTCGGCGGACTGCAGTTTGACACGCCGCTCCCCACAGACCCACGCGGAACCAAGGCGCCGGCCCCGCAGGCGCCGCCGCGCGCGCCGCCCGCCGCAGGCCCCTCGCCGCCGCTCCCCGCCGACGCGGCGCCGGCAGGCGCGGGCGGGCCCGAGCCCGGCAGCGAGGAGTGGGTCGCGATCGTGGGGCGGCTGGTGGGCGGCGGGGACCTCAAGTGGCGCGCCATCCTGCCGAGCGGCGACAGGGTGGGCCCCTTCAGCGTGGCGCAGATGACGGCGTGGCTGCTGCAGGGCGAGCCGCCCAAGAGCATGAAGGCGCCCGCCAAGGGCGGCGGCGGCTCGCGGCACGGGTCGGGCGACATGCGGCCCGACCCTGACGAGCTGCTCGTGTGCGGGCTGCTGTCTTCGGACTACAACGCGCAGAGTGAGCGGCGCCCTGACGCACCAATAAAGCAACAGCCGACGGGGCCGGAAGCCTGCGTGGCTGCGAGTGGGAGGCGGTTTGGCAGTGCGCTTGGAGCTCTGTGCGACCCGGCGCAGGCCTTTCCGCTCGCGAGACCCTTGGTTCACGTCTTGACCTTTCTCATCCACAGGGCTGCCCGGGCTCAAGTTCTACAAGCCGCTCTCGGCGCTGGTTGCGCTGCTGGCGGGCGGCGCCCAGTACGAGCCCGTGAACAAGCACGACGTGACGCGCGGCTACCCCAAGCCGGGGTGGAACGAGGGCAAGGCCGCGCGCGGCGCCGCAGCTGCCGCACGCC